AGTATTTGTTCCTGGCTTACATGGGTTTAAACCAGGTCATCTTGTGAATAAATGAGCAGGGCTTGCACAAAGGAGGAGGGGGAATCTCATGCATAGAGGGGAGCTTGGGAAGGAGAGGGAGCAGCCGGTCCCTCCTCCCCGCTCCACAGTGGCAAACTGATTACTTGGCTCAGCCAGAACAGGGAACCACGTTCACAGGTAGGTCACTTGTGGACTGTGTTCCCATACTGCATAACTTTTTTAGTTTTTATGTTATAGTTATTGAAAAACTTCTGTATGGTCTTTCTAATTCACAATATGCCAGCACTTCAGTCAGATTATGCCTTTCTGTGGGGAAAACAACCAGATGAGGCTAAAGGGTGCATGGAGAAACTGAGGATGAGAACTCTGCAAAAGTCTCAGATGAGACGTTTCTACATACAACTCGAAGGAAGGAGGGGAGCGGGTACAGAGAGCATGGATTTATTTGGAGACTCTTTTCGGGAGTCACCTAAGGGAAATTAGGTAAGAGCTACCATAAGATAGCTAGCTCTCCTCAGCAGATAAACCTTTGGGGCTGATGTTGAGTATTTCCTACATCGATGATGGAATCTTTGAGCCTGAACATCCCGGAAAGTTAGTGTATAATGAGGAAGGAATGAATTTATTTTCTGGCTAGCAGGCACAGACTCTATCTGACACTGCTGTTTCTGAAGTAGAATATGCTCATACAGTTACTGCATGTCCTAACTAATGGCTTACAAGAGGAAACTTGAAATTTGATATTAGATAGTAGATGAAAGATCAGCTATTGAATTCCCTGTAACAGTTATTACCAGCAAACCTTATAAATTTATTTTGCTAATCAGTAAAGAAAGAAGGTTTAGCCTCCTTTTTAGTGAACCTCTTTGATTTCACAGCTCACAAAGCTTCTAATGTAAAGACACACAGCAGAACTGACAGTTTCTAGATTAGTATACATAGGTATATTTCATTAAATCTAGAAAGGTAGATGAGTTCAAAGCTAGTTTTTGGATCCTTGTGAGAAATGAAGTACTGCAAAAGATGGTCTAGTCAGAAAGTCAGATTAATAAATAAAGCAATAAGACTTAAAGGTGACACTGTATTCTGCAATCCTTTTAAGAGTCTGGAATTGCTCTGGGCCACCTTATTTTGGTAATCTGTTGAAGCAGAATTCCAGCACTCTACTTCAGGTGAAATGCAGATGTTTCCTATACCTAGGCAACGTTTTGTGGCAAGGGAAATGTAGGTATCAATAGCTAATTTATATAAATTTTTTATTTTCACTGACCATGTATTGGAAGAATCCCTTCAAGTTTCTTTCCTAAATGTGAATTCAACAAACAGATGGAACAAATTTCACAGTAAGCACAATAACCACAGGTCAGGTGGTGTAGGACATTTTACCTGACAAGTCAAAACTGTAAGACATGCTAAGTGGCCGGATTGCTGTAAAAAAAAAGAAACAAAAACAACAAAACAAGAAAACGATTCAGCTATTAGAAAAGCAGAGGGATAATGAAAACAAAAGATTAACTCCACTTAATACATTTTGGATTCTGTTGTCTAAATCCAAAATGTGTCAGACATACTACTGCTTCACTGTAGTAAAGCTCAAAGTCTGGAAACCACAGTAGCATAAATGGGATATGCAAACAGAGCAATTATAAATATATTAGTATAGTTGTAGAATGAGATCTTCAGAATTCAATAAATCAAATATCAAAACAAGAGGCAAGTATCTTAAAAATTTAGTATTTTCAAATAAAATGCTATGAAAAAGGGAAAAGGGAAAGAGGAGAGAAAGCTGAAAAGAAAATTGAAAGCACAAAGCCACATTTCACACAAGTTTCAGTGACCTGAAATAAAGATATTTCTAATTTTTTTAAGCATAATCTCCAATGATTATAATTAAACTAATAAAGAGAGACATTCAAGCTAAGCTTGAACTGTAGTTTTCCTTGAAGAGGATGGAAAAAAAGGCCAAAAAAAATCTGATTTGTGCTGACTTCTGTGCTTTTCAAAAACCGCAGGTGCACTTAGCCTTTAAAATGTATCAGTAATATTCTCTTCTTCCTGAGCCTCTAACTATTTTATTGCTAGATAATAAAGTTGTCAGATGTTCTTTATATCTGGAAAGACCTATCTATATTTCCAATTAAACAATGTAATTCGGGGAGCAGACACTCAAAATAGTACTCAACTGAAAATAATATTTCAATGCACTAATCTGGATAAGCAGGCCAAGCCCAATGACAAGAATGTACAAAAATGTTAAAAAAGCTTACATGTCTTATTTGACAGGTGATAAACATGCAAGTTGGTATGAAAGAGCCTGTCAGCCACACATACCACTGCATTAAAAGGTATTTATAAAAAGGTTATACTGGGACAAGTTTTGCTTATGAGAATAAAGTGGTGAATGCCGTAGGTGGCTGACTCAGAGCCAGATTTGGGAGTTGGTATTTTTTCTGTAGTTCATTAACTAGACAACATCGGCCATACACAACAGCTACCGAAGCACTATCCCTGTCCAAACTAAGCATTAGACATTTTAAAACATAAGGGTGTTTATCACCTAATGCTGAATCCTAACTGAAGGCTGATAAAACACGCACATGAAGCAAAGTTTTCTCTAAGTTCCAATAGCTCCACCTGCTTGAGTCACAAATCCATGCTTTTAATTAAAAGGACATGTACCTCAAAGCTGTGTTTGTCTTGATAGTTTATGCTGATCATTTTATGAGGTCATTTGAAAGCTCACTTCAGCTCCTCCACTCAAAACACTCTTTGTGAGAATAGCTACCAAGTTTCAATCACCATTTCCAAATAAGTTTTAGACTGAGACTGGCCAGCCAGGAGCTGCCTTTTCTCAGTGGCAGCTCAGGGTACACAAGGTCTTACCTGTACCATGTGTTGTGCAGAGCAGAGGGACAAAGCCTGAGGCTGCTGGGAAACACATGCTGTAGGTACACTCAGATCACAGAGGAGGAACTGCAGGAGTACAGCCCCCCTCACCCCAACAGTCAAGTGTAGTTGTGCTCTCGACTGCTATAAACTGAGCAAAAAGGAGTAACTGTGGGACACGTGAAACATACCTTATGCTCCCAAATATTTCATTCTAATGTGCTTTTTTTCCCCCCTCCTTTTTAATAGCAACAAATATTTCTGTCCAGATGGTGTAAGCGTCCCATGTGGTGTTAGATTTGTAATCCTTAAGCCTCATTACTTTACATGTTGTTACACTAAATTACATTCAGTGGTCATTTAAACTACATGGCAGATCTATTTGTGTCACACTGAATGCCACTAGCATTACTCCATTCGCAATTCTGCACAAACACATTCTACTCTAAAAGCAACTTCGGGCATAACAATCATTTCAATGTGAGAAAGAACAAAACCTCATATTTCAACACAAGAAAAAATTATCTTAAACACCTGTGATCTTTTTACTTCTTCATGCCAGCAGCAAATACGCACTTGGGAAAAAAAATTGCATGCATCCCTTTTTACACCTACAGTAATATGGCATTTAATCCAATTAATTCACTGGACTTAAGAGGAATTACTAGAGTTCCAAAACACAAAAATTTAATTCTTTAACAAAAAATGAAGAATTGGTGGAAGACAGGTATCCCTCGTTGGAGACCCTGCCCTAAAATCAGCTCAGAAGTCCTAACCAGTGGTAGTCCAAAATTTAACATTAGTTTTAGAAACTGTTTACTAACTGAATTCAATGTCATTTATATCAGTTAGAAATTGTAAAGATTTATTAGATCAAATTTGCTGCCCCTGAGATGACATGATAGTTCCCAGATGGAGAACATTTAAACCACCGAAATTGAATGTTTGAAAGAAAATTGAGGAATCATTCCACATTTTTACAAGCTTTCTACATTTGGAAAAATGTGTAGGCCTGTTAGAAATGTTAATTGATAGGGCAAGCATAAAATTAATCCAAACCAGAAACTGGAAGGCCCAAAAAAACAATATTCAAAACATTGTGCTTTTAAAAACGCACCCAAGCATTCCCCAAACTCCATCAAGCACTTCAAAAACAATGCAACAAAGCAAGACTGATGAAACTGTTTTTCTCCAGAGACAATGGGTTGTCACAATCCACTTGAATCTGGACCAGTGCCTTTGAGCACGTGGAAAGCACAAATATTTTGCAAAAAGCAGTGATACACACTACGTACGTGGGTTATTTCATGCTTTTCAGATGTAAGATGCCACATTTGCTCTTCAAGAATCCAGCTAGTTTCGTTTTTCTAATACAGATAAATACCACTCTTAAAGCAATCAAGTCACTATATAAGACTATATTTGCAATTCTTTTGTCATCAGAACCTGGTGATTGCTGCACAGCACAGTATTTTGTATAATTTCATAGCGGGTTGTTAAATACGCACTGCAGAAATTAAATGTTTTGCAGTGCAAGTCTGAATTATTTTCCCACTAAAATGATCTACAAAGACATGTTCCACAACTTAGAAAATGAAGCAAACATTCAGATTCAAAGTAAGTGCAACAGATTCAGCAAACACAATAAAAGCAGGTTTTAAATTAAAATAAGGAAGTTGATGACACTAACAACAGGAAACACAGAGAATAAATTAATTAAAAAACAACATGTAAAGAAGACTTGCAGATATGTAAGGCATACTGCACTGTGGAGAAGGAAAAACTATTCCATTCTGAGCAAATCTAACATTAGCTGTCATGTGCAACAAGCAATACAATACCATTAAATTTATCTAATACTTACATTAAAAACTTGAATGGAATCAAACTGAACCATTCGGTTTCATATTTTAAAATATAACTTAGCCCAAAAACTGCATAGGCCTAGAAAATCCTGTAGGTTCTTTCTTTTTCTGAAGGGTTGAGAATAATTTTATCCTTCATGACACCTGCACAGACATGGCTAATACTGCTGCTTCTCGTGTGGGAAGTTTTCTGTGGATGCTGCAGGTAAAAATTGGCAATGTGCTTACCCAGCCTGCTACGCCTTATCTCATCAGGTGAGACTGGACGTAACTTCCTCTCCGCCTTGATTTCCTCCAGTATCCTTTCATGAAGGCTGCGTGGCCGTGGTGGGGTTGGTTTCAGTTTCCTTGCCGAGGCCTTGGGATATAAATATAATCATATTTACATGAAAAACTGCTTCCTTGAAAGTAGATTTCAGACTTTTTTGGAAAAAAATGTGGAATGTCGTGATATGATTTTACATGCACTCAATTTTAAACCTCACATAAATATGAAAGAGGGTTTTAATTTCTCCCTGATGCATCATGATTTCCCAGAAATAAAGGGCTGCTGGTAATAACAGCTATTCATTGGTATGTGCAAGATATTGCACACTCAAGATCCTGTTCTATATATACAGAAGACAATATTTTTGAAAGCCTATGGCAGAAAATGTGGTATTTACATATTCATTGGACACAAACATGCTTTAAAAAGCCACAATTTTTGTTAGGAACGAAGCCCATTGGATTACATACAGGATTTAATGGAGGTCGCGATCGGATGAAATCCAGGATTATTTCATGGGCACTCTTTTTTAATCGAGGTGGGATGTCACCGTTGACCTGGAAAGGAGAAAGTGAAACATATATTGTTGTGTTTTACATTCACATTCATGCAGATGAGATAGTTGAAAACTCACAACAAGCCTGACAGAGCTGGCAGCGTTCTGACACCTGCACCAGACGTAAAACCCCACTGGTCCTGAGCAGAGCAACAATCCATATGCAAAGCACAGTCAAGCAAAAATCCATACATAACAGCTTCTCAGCTTTGCTGATAGCTGCAAAATAACCACAATTGCAGCAGCTTTAATCAGCAATACTTAGGATTTTGAAATGATGAAATCAAATGTCAAGGCTGCAATCGTGTCTATGGGAGAAGTACTTTTCCTCTCCATAAATCATAAATTTCTGTAGAACAGGGGCTGGGTGAGGGTTGTTTGCTTTTTTGTTTGGTTTTCTCCAAAGACACAGACATTTCTTTCTCTGACAACTCATTTAGACTTAAGACATCACAGGAAAGAGTCATCAGTTCACTATATGTATAGGATATAAAAGAAGGCACTGGAAGTTCTCGTATCATATAAAGAATGTATACATTGTAAGCTGGGAATAAATGTATGGATTTGCTTACAAAAAACACCTGTCAGGGTCAGTCGGCATACAGCACAGTGCCCAAGCACACTGTCAGGGATGAGAGAGCATCCTATGTCATACATCCTTCTGGCACCTCCTATTACCACACTCTAGCTGGCTATCGGGCCTGTCCTCCAATTTGACAGAAATTCCCATGACCATATATAACATAAAATACATGACTGTATTTCTTAGACCAACTGTCCCCTATTTCAGCACTTCTTTTTATTTTCTTAAAGGCCAGTTGTCTCATTTCTTTGGGAGACTCCATTCACACAAAGTCTGTAGCCAGCAAACATATGTATAGACATATCTGGTTTGCCATATCACATGCCCTTTGGCTATCCAGATGGAATGGTGCAATCAGAAAAATGGGTTTAAGTGCCATATTCACCTGAATATGATCCCTAATTGAACTTCATCAATGCCAAGCAGCTTCTGTACAAGCTCTGCTCACCTCAAGCATGCCCTGTTTCCAGGCTGAGGCCGAGTGACAGACTCCCAGAGAAGATTCATCCCTTTCCCTCTAAGGAAGAAGATGTAGAGTCCCTTCTGGGGAACACTTAATTGCCTTTCTGAGGACTCTTTCTGGAGATATTCTACCCCAGACACAGTCCAAACTCTATTTGTGGCACCCTCCTTAGCTTCCTTAGAGTGAATTTCAGGTTGCTTGGCAGAGAATACCAAGCTGCTAAACCCTTCAACATGCATCATCTTCTTAAAAACAGTGCAGAAAAATTAAAATGGAAAAGGTTTATACTAAATGGTGATTTGACATTTCCTGATGAGGAGAATATTTTTTTAAGCAGTGTGATTGATTTCTTCTCTTTAAAGACTGAGCAATTTTTTGAGGCCAGAAGGCTTTGGAGGATTGTTAATGAAATGAGAAGTCTCTCTTCCCTGAGTTGCTGTTCATCAGATGTCAAAGTTGATAGCTGAAGCTGAGAATTATTACCATCAGAACAGCCATTTTGTAAACTGATAATCTCTGTTCCAGCCTTGGGGAACAACCCTCTCCGTGACAACAGTAAATAAATAATACATGGCTCTGAGCCTTTCACCTCAGGGCACTCTAGGCCCTGACTTAATGCCATCAGGGTATAATTAGTATCAGTATTACCATCTGATTGGAAAAGGAGAAATGTACGATTTGCTTAAGTGATTTTCCACAGGATACATGGGGAGCTGATGGCAAAGCAAGTGGATGTTTCACAGCCAACAAGCCAAGAGAGTGAGAGCACCCATAGCAGAACCTTTGGCACCCAAACAAGATACTGATATGGAAGATACTGAAGAGAAGCTTTCATCCTTTCTGTCCACACTAGATCTATTTATTTACTCAAACTAGCCCTCTCTGTAATGAGCAATTTTAAATGCACTCTTTAGTTTTACTTAATTAAAATTCATGGCTCTTGATTAAAGTCTAAATCAGAGATATTCCACAGATGCAGCCATGATACATGCAGGGGAAAAAAACCACCAAGGAACAAATTTAGCTCCTTTTTTCCCCCCCCCACATACCAGACTGGCCCCAGCTGCAAACCAGTAAACACTGTAAAACTATACTATACTAAGTACTGTAAAAACACTGTAAAACTATACTAAGTTTTCATGTAAAATAGCTTTTGTATAGCAGTATGCATTAAAATTAGCAGTGTGGAGAAAGCATAACCAATTATTATAAAAATCAAACATAAATGTGGACACCTGCACATAAAAATTAGCATGTAATCATCTACTCACGACCTGCTACCATTACATTTTAATATATAAATATGGGTTTGCCATTTAAAAAAATAACTGCAAATAGTACTTAGTTACCTTTGGGTGAAGCCCAAAGCCTTAAAAATGGTGATCCCAAACAAGAAGTACATTGCTCATAACTTTCAAAAAAATAACTTCATTTATCATTGACATTTAATTATTTCAGCCATTTATTTGTCTCACTATTAAAGCTGTCAGCATTAAGTAGGAGAGTGCTATCTCTAAATAATTGCCAACATGAAACTGATATTGTTTTCTACTATCTAGACATTTCCATTTAAAAGGAAACTGCATAGACACTGATACAGACAGAGGAGGCATGCTACATCATTTCTAAAACAGCTCATGATAAAATTTTATGGTGAATTAAAGTACTATAAGTAGATATACATTTACCATCTTGCATTATGCAGACAGTATAGTGTTTTAGTTAACACAGTTGTTATATAGTGTGTATGTGACACCACACAGCAAGCTCAAGCAGCAGTGTCCAAGAACAAAGCGCTTTGGTACTTCCCATTATAAGGCACTGTATTCACGCTGCTGCTATCATGATACCACATGATAACCACAGTATTTACACAGTTACCCCTTAGAATATCCCTAAAGCATGATTAGGAGCTGTAAAACTCCGTGCTCTACTTAGGATGACTTCTAAACTTCTGTAGAAGTGTGACCAAGTTGGAAAACGAAAAAGCGGCATTCCCTGCTGAATGCAACTGAATGCCACTCAGCACAACTACGTCAGACCCTCGTGTTTACAAGAACAACAGACTCTACAATGCCCAGCTGGACAAACTGGTCAAAGTCCTTTCCTCACATTCTCTATGTCTTGCTTGAAACATATGAAATCTTGCTTATGAAAATACTGTCCACGCACAGCTGTTACTGCAACTAAAGTAAGTACTGTAAGATGCTAAATACTCAAAGAAATAAATGTTTTTTAAAAAAGCACCAAAACCCCTGTTACAAGGTTCTCAGCTTAGACATTCAAATTACTGGATATTTTTTATATTAATAGCTTCAGCCTATATACTTAAATTCCCCTGTTGCAACACGGCCAAGCTAATACCACTGTCACAGATGTTTGTGAAGAGCTTGAATATGAAGACAGGGCGTTGTTACCTATAAAGATGGATTGCTCAAGAAATACAGCGAATGATGCACATCTTGGAGGGGGAGAGGTGGATAGAAAGGAGAGCTAATTGTGAATCACTGTGAAATTAAAAACTGTAGCTCAACACATATGCATAATAAAGAAAAATCAAGCCTGCAAGAGCAATATAACAAATTTCTCCATTAGTAAATGTTGACTCTACCTACGTTCACAGTTTTTAACTTTTGTGGGAGTGGGTGCTCCATGGGAGAAAAACACTATTAAATCTCTCCAGGTAGGTATTTAAAGATCATAAAATGCCAGAATGAAAGCTATCTTGCTCCCACAACAGTCACAGAAACGAGGACTCTTACATCCGGATAGAGAGATGACAAATCTGGAATTATTTTCATATGTCCTGAAATAGAAATGCCAACGTCACTGAAACAAATTAAACCAGTTATTTACCAAAAGCCCAGAATCTGACATTCTGCATCTTCAAAACATTTTGAATGTTTGCACTATGACAGAAGGTGGGTGAGAACAGGCAGCTCCAGTTATTGCTGTCTGTTAGTGCAATACTTTTGACAGTCTGAAACACCAAAATACTTCCAAATAGGAACATCTGTTCCTTTCCTAATTTTTGCTCAGAGTACTGAGCAGCCATGGACAGATCAAGCTACTCTTTTAAACACAGCATTATATTAATAAAAAGAACAATGAAGATTTCGTGTTGCATCTGACTTACTTAAAAAATTTACTAGCCTCTTATCATGTGTTTTCACAAGCTACCAAGTCTAAAACTACTACCTATAAATTGAAAGTAAAAATTACTTTCAATAAAAATTTTGCCAAACATCCATTCTGATTGATAGAAAGAAACATAATCTGTTTTTTCTAGACTGCCTAAAAATTAAGATTTAAGATTCTTGTCCTTTTCTCCTCTTCTCAAGAGCCACAATGATTTTCTCTGATGGGAATACATATAATCAGCTTTGACCCATGATAGTCAGCTAAAAGATGCTGTATGTATGCAATCTAACGAAACCTGTAATTCTATGTGAATCCTTCAGGCTCTGCACATTCCATATCAAGCTACAGTCTTATTATTGAACATGCTTTGCACAGTCTTCAAGCAGACCCTGCACCAGGATTCAAGTTACTGAATTTAAGGTTTCCAATAAGAAAGAAGTGATTTTTCTAGCACAATGCAAGGAGCAGTTGTCAGACTGAGCCAGCAATTGCACCACAGACAGTCCTACAGGTACTGTACCTGCAGCAGATCGTAATCCCAATTCATGTTTATGCCCAGAGTTCACTTCGACAATCTATCTAGTTGACAAGACAGCAGGCCAAAAATAGATCCTTGCAGGGATTTTGTACACAGTGAGAGCCTGGATGAGCAGAGGAGCAGCTGTGCCTCCAAGACATACCATATAATGAAGAAAATCTTTTCTGAAGAGGCAGGAGCTTGCTTAGCAGAAGATGAATTAAAAGCTAGTCTGACAAAAGCAAAATTAGATGACCCAGGGGTTCCCATTCAAACAAAACGACTATTCTGATTGCATACAGTAATAAAGGTCCTGAGGGGACTGTTCCTCTGTCGCAGCGGGTAGAAGGAACACTTAGCACAGTTCTCTGAATTGTTAGGGGAAAGACAGATAACATCATTACCTGGGTTTCTATTTTACCCTCTTGATTTAACATTTAAGCAACATCTGTTGCAGAAAATAAATACAATCGGATAGTCTAAATCCAGATCTCGATTAGAAAAATACTTTCAGCTCAAACATAAAAGGTATTTATGCTACACACTTTCTGCCTCTCTCACCTGTCTCCCTCCCCCTCCTCTGATTTTTTCTCTGGTGAAATCACGGCTTTCTTACTATCAAAGATAGGAAAGGAAATACATCTGAACACTGAATATTCTAAGACAATGCTTCCATTGTAACTAATGACAGGGGAAGATAAGTAAATACAAGGTTTTGATATTGACCAAATACATGCCTCTGAAAAAGGGATATAAAATGTCCTTCTAGAGATAAGGACCTCTTTAGACCGATTGCTAGCTTATCAGGAAAAACTTAATGCTGAAAAAAATATAACCCAAAAAGACAGAAAGAATGGGAGACACCAATAAATATCAAATTGGTTCTGATAAAAAGAGTACCTGAAGTCAATCTTACAGGCACCTTTATGAGAATCTAGGAGGAGGAGATTCATGAACACTCTCCAGCTTGCTTTGGCTTATTGTCTTGACTTGAAAGCAACAGTAGAATATGCTGAAAATAACTGAGCTCAACGTCTAAAAATGGAAGATTTAATTTTTTTTACATTGAGCATTCCTTGAAAATTCATAACAGATCTTGATAAGTTTTCAAGCACCGTGATACAGGCAAGAGATAATATAAATTTTCAGTTAACCTTTGTAGGTTTTCCTTCCCCATCACACTATCATTCATGGTAGCACTTCACATTCCGGAATTCCAAAAACTATATTGTGAATCAACAGAAATGTTCTCTCCAATGAGAAAAGTCTAAAACAGTCTCTCAGTGGAAAGCATGACGGGACTTTTGAGATGACTCTTAAGGTTATCACAAAAGCAACGCAAGGTATTTGTTCAAACATATGATGCATAGGCATGTCTTTCATAATCAAAAATGCCTGCCACACGGAAAACAAAATACACTACATGTGTTGGTTTCATGTTTTCCCTCTCAATGCACTATGAAAATTTAAGATGCCATTTAAAACCCATGAACATTAGTATCTATAAGAAATAATAATTCCAAGATTCTCAGAAAAAAAAAGAGAAGACAAAAAGAAGATAAAAGAAGGAAAAGAACATTTCAGATTTGACAAATTCTAGTGATTCTCTTGACTTACCATGACCTTCCTTAAGGTGTAGCGTTTGGATCTAATATCATCCATCAGCATCTCATAGGGTGTGAGCTGATATTCTATTGGGAGTGGGTTGTACTGACGCTCTTGAACTTTCTTAAGTTTAACACCATTCCGTAAATCTCGCATCACTTGCACCCAAAAACGAGCCTGAAGGGAAAAGAGAGAGAAATTTTATTTGATATCTCACCCTTGAATAACAACTCACATTAAATCAAACTTGTTCGTTTTCCTTCCAGGGCACCACCAAATATGTACAGCTGTACTATTTTATTTTTAACACATCAATCAAAACCCATTTTATTTTATATAAGCCTATTTTTAACACTTGTGAATGCAACAAAACTTTGTTGTAACTCAGCAGACTCACCTCAAGTACAGAAAAAGAATTTGAAATTCTCATACCTTACATCTATATTCCCATTTCAAGTATACTGCAAGCAAGCCTTTCAAGTTTTTAGACTTATACCTAATACTATGCAAATTAAAACAATGACTGAATCTGAAACATTGTTGCCCAGAACTTCTTTGCAAAATTTCCCAGTAGTTGTTCTTCAAACAGAAATTTTGGAATGGACTCCAAATCCTAAGGTCCAGCAACATCTTCTCAGTAGTCAACTTCCTTTTGCTCTGCCTGTAAGAGCAACACACACTAACGCTTCCCTCTCATTTTCTGAGAAGCAGAATGGCTGGAGAGAAGAAAAAAAAAGTGGTGGATAGAAGACTGGGAAATCGAAATAAAGTCCTTTAAAGAACCTCATAATATTCATCTGTGAACTGGCAAGAACAGAAACTAGAAAATAAAACAAGCTACTTCCTGGTTAAGAGTTTCCCTGTAATCTTTTTCTTTCATCATTGGAGAAACTCAGCTGGCAGCTCTGTCTACTCCCTGGCTGCCCCTCTGAAGGGGAGTCAGCATGATTCCTGTCTAAATATCCAGTCTCTTTAAACTGTAAAAGCTTCTCCATGAAAGCAGTCTAAAGGAAATGTATTGCTTCGATACTTCTATTGTTTCATCTGTCAGGAAATGAAAGTTGAGACTCATTTGGTTCTAATTTGTCATGAGTTACTATTAATTCATATGGTAAAAAGAACAGAGACTGATTTTAACATAGTACCATAGAATGGCTTGGGTTGGAAGGGACCCTAAACCTCATCTAGTTTCAACCCCTCTGCATTGGGCAGGGACACTTTCCACTAGATCAGATTGCTCAAATCTGTTCCTGTGCTCCATCATCCTCATTGTAAAGAATTTCTTCCTAATATCTTATCTAAATCTACTGTCTTTCAGTTTAAAGCTATTCCTCCTGTCCTATCACTACAGGTCCTTGCTAAAAAGTCCCTCTCCAGCTCTCTTGCAGGCTCTCTTTAGGTACTGGAAGGGTGTTGTAAGGTCTCCTGGAGTCTTCTCTTCTCCAGGCTGAAAAACCTCAACTCTCTCAGCCTGTCTCCACAGGAGAGGTGCTCCAGCTCTCTGATCATCTTCATGGCCCTCCTCAAAACTCACTCCAACAGGTCCATGTCCTTTGTATGTTGGGGAACCCAGAGCCGGACACAGTGTTTCAGGTGGGATTTCATGAGAGTGGAGGTAATGACACCTTAAGTAAGCTTTATAAAGAAATATAAATTACTAGTAATGATGCTGAATCACTCTTTAATTGTTGTCTTACCCAGTCAGCATTTTTTAAGTCATCAAGATCTGTGCTGGATTCATCACTTCCCTCTTTGTCCATTTCCTGAATCTTCTTCAGGTTCTGCCAATGAAAAGGAGTCAATAAATGAATGATGGCATTACTCTCAAGTAAAACTTCAGCCTAATTTTTGACATCTCTTGTATCAGGTTGTTTGGGTATTCTACTGAATGTTTTATGACTTGAATAGTAATACTGTAAAAGTAACTTGAAACACTATTTGAATGTATTTCTCTTCCTTGAAAAGTGTACCTTAAATAATGGGAAAAAAATGTTAAGTTTTGAGTATAAAAGTACTTCATGCTGGAGGAAAAACTATACATGGAAACTTTAATCCCTAAAATTTAGCTATGCACAGAAAAAAAGCAAACAACCACCTAGCAGGTCTGTTAAGCTACAACACAGAAAGGTAAGGAGCCCATTCATACCAAAATTATTGTTATTTGTTGAATTCAAGACTTCATTTTTGCAGGAGAAATTCCCAGAACATTAGTTGTGAGGAGAAATAATCTATGAAAAATCCTTTACACTGAACAGACTTGTATATACGTTGTAATTAATTAGTCTGTATAACATGGGTATAGATTCTGAAATATCAATAATAAAATCATGTAAGTAAGAGAAACATCTTTCAAAGATGAAAACTGTTATTTACGGACAAGATCAGATCATGCAAATATGGAGAAGATTGTGTGCAAAGGGGCAAAAAGAAGCTTTCATACAAGTAAGAATGTGAAAAATGATTAAAAGTTAGAACACACCAAAGAACAGGCAAGCTTGCATACAGATAAATGCAAGAAAAAAATTTGGAACGCTGTGGTTTTACGCAAATTATTTTTTATGCATTAACTCCTGCATATTCATAATGTTATTTTATTTTTGTTTACTTCTGTATTGAAATGTTCTAGAATGAGCAGTACAAACAAATTCTCAATAATCTACTTCTACGTTCACTGAAAGTTTTACAAAAAATCTTTAACAATGTTTAATTTGATCTCTTTTCTACATAGTCACTAATATATTCAAAATGGATAGTTAAGTCCTCTGCTAACTACTTCTTTATTTTATGAGACTAAAGCAACAGGTCAGAGGTCTGACAGACATATTTATCAAAAGTATATTTCTCACTTTTAAGCACTCAAGCTCTTCCTCCAGTCGTACTGAACAATCAGTCTCAATTCAGCTTCTGAGTTTTCAAGAAAAAATAAAAGTAAATACTTTTTAAAACTTTTTTTTCCTGGGAGTAAAACTTCCAATTTCCAAACTGCCCACATTTCAGTGTAAGAAATGGAAGCACTGGAAGAGTGCTTAACTTGCACATTTAACAGCACAAGTATTTCCCAGACCTGGCTACAGAGATAGCAAATGTGAGTCAGCTACCACAGAGGTTTTGGAAAGAGACCAGATGGGTTCTTTATTGTCTTATTTAATAAGTAACACAATCGCTTTCACATCAAGGAAGAAATACTACCATTGCCCTATATAAATAAAATACATAATTTACATGAAGACTCTCAAAACCATAAATCACCTACACTAACAGAAGCAGACAGATCACAGGACAATGTGGGAACATTCTGGCATGACTTGCAGTATCACAACAGGATACCCAATTGGGAAAGAATGTCTTCATGGAAACTTGTGTTGTCCTGGTGCTGTGGTCAGTCTGACACTTACAGGCAATTGCCCTTTCCAGGGGAAGAAAAAAGAAAAATGGAAAGAACAAATAAAGGCCTTGCTTATATGTATTTTGCTATCTAGGGTTTCTTCTTTCTGTGTCACACAGTTGCAATAATAATTTCAAATACAGTATCTGTGAACTGTAAATTACTTGGTTTCTAGCAAACTGCTAACATTTATTGATAATCTGCAAAACAAAATTGTTCTGATACTTTCTCCTTTTCCTCTTTGTAACCGAAAGGTAACTTTAGTAAATGAGCTCACAAATGTCAGATTTGCTGCTCCTTTTCATACTGCAAGGTACACATTAATTTTTAAAAAAATAACGTGTTCCAGCTGCTTAGCCTATACTTCAATTGTTCAACACGATTTGTGACAATTACCCATCTCAGCAACCATGTTCCCTTACCATACAGTTTACTGGGTTGCTTTATGCCCAAAGGCTAATGTGTTTGACTGACATAAATATTCCATGAAGCTAAAAAGATTACAACCTGTTTTTCTTAACAACAGAAAATAAGAAGAGGGGAAAAAAACACCCATGAGCAGCTAAAAGATCTTCTAAATAAGGCAACCATCTAATTAGTTTCTCTGGAACATAGCTAGAGGGGGAGTTTCTACTCGAGAAAGCACAGGTGTAAGTGATGCTGGCTACCATGCACTGGAGAGCTGCAAGAGCAAAACCTGCCAGCCAGGAGATCTCTCAAAGTGCAGTTTATAGCACAAAGGAATTGGTACAAGCACAGGCTACTGCCAAAGCCAGGCTTCTATTATGCCCCATTCTCATGCTTAGTGCTCTGTCTGCTGCACTTGTACCAGCAGACACCCATTTCACAGGGATAGTTCAATCTCCTTCCTGGCACCTGGCTCAGATCCCTAAGTGCAGCCCACTATGCAATCAGTGGGAGGAGAGTACAAAATAAAGGAATTTCCATCATTATAGAAGTTACAAAGCTTTGGAAGACTGGGGAGAAAATAAATCAGCAAGTGCTCTATCCTTGCAGTTAGTTCTTAGGATGGCTTCTTTAACTCTTCCACACCTGCCAGGTACTGCTTAGGAAGGAATAAATTCACTGTGACAAATGATTATGTTTAAAATCCTAGACTAAATGGAACATTAGGATTTCCCTCCTGCACCTCCAGCCATCATCAGTGGGTTTCTGCCTCTGTTTCAATTGTAAATAATAGAAACCAACACATTTAAAATACAATAGACCCTTCATCATAACTCAGCTGTGATCCAAAACCTGCGACTAACCTCAGCTGCTTACCCTTGGGACAATGGCTTAAGAAAAGCTATTACAGCAAAATAAATACATGCCCTAAAAGAATTTCCATTTCAGAAAGTAGAAACATCTTAAAATGGTTATTCTAAATGATCTAAATGATCCCAGAACCTCAGATCCATACCACAGACCTGATTCAGCCTGAGTGTTTGTTCAGGAAATAAAGGTTGGAAGTGTACAAAATATGTTTCAAGAGCTCATCCTTTTTTTTTAAACCATTATGGTATTTGGCCATTTTTTTAAAAGACTGCATTTTGTGACAAAAGCTAGTAATAAAAATATCAAATGTCTTCAAACCTCTTGCTGCACTATTAAAAGCAGGCACTTGATTTGCTGCTGCTGCGTGGCCCACATTTGAGATGCACTCTTCTGTGCTCAGTGACAGATGGGAGTTTATATAAGACACTTGTCAGCACAGTGTCAAAGACTTGTTTCCATAAAATGCTCTCTAAAGCACAATGTTTCAATGAATATGGTATTCTAGGGAATTCAGATCTGAACTTTGACTTTCACCAATTGCAGAACACAGGCTACTGCAGTTTCCAGTTTATACCCTTAATTAGGAATGATTTGTTCACTAATTGAATTGATTCTTACACCACTATCTGTGAAGCTAATAAAATATTCTTGCACATTTAGGCTCAATTTAAAAATACATAATATGCACACGGGGAAAAACTGCTTTTACATATCTTCAGCTATTCAAATTGGGTTTAAATTCCAAGGGCTTGGCCAGCAGCATTACTCTGGTTCTTTGAAAAGACCCAAATCCCATTTAATTCACACATGGGGATAGGATCAGTTAAATCAGTTGATATCAGTTGAGTTGATATCAGACAAAGGTTTTCACATATAGTGGTATGGGTTGATGCACTTTGCTCAGTTCTGGAGAGGGCAATAGTCCCCATGCTGCTCAACATAAATATGCTGTTTAACAGGAGGAAAAAAACCCAAACCAACTGCATGGAACACTGATTGAGTGACAGTGCCTGCACCACTTAAGAAAATAAAATCAAATCTTTCCCCACCAAACACTAACCAGCAACATTTTCCCGTATTATAAATCTCCTAAACTGAGAGATCAAAGAGATCACAATGCGGCTGCAAGCCTGACAACAGTACAGTTGCAAAAGTGGAGTCACTGGAGGCCTGGAAGTGTAGACAAAAGTGAAGTTATGAGCAGAAAAGTTTGTGAATCCATTTCTTTCTCCAGCTGTGCTTTCTTAAAATCCAAGCAGCAGGGTATTTGACAGCTTTCACAGTCACAAGACTTTTAAGAGTAACTTGGCTAATGACTGTATTTCCAAAATAAGTTAGCCATTAACATTATTTAGGTACCTATTAACTATATCTATTATCATATTTTGTACAAATAATACAGCAGTATAGCCAGGTTAAATGGAAAGTAACACCTGACTTTTTTCATTAACTGTTTTCCAACTGAATCTTTGTATGACATGAAACTAGGAAAAAATGAATGGAAAAATTTAATTTCTATGCGTGTACTTAATTAGATTTGTATGTTTACATTTCATACAGATCAGATTGAAATATATCCAGGCAGAGTGAAAGAATTATGTTTTTACATCAGAAAAGACAGAAATGAAAGTCAACATGTTTTAAAAGAACAGTACAAAGATGACAGATTGGGAGCTTTCTCTGTGTTCTACCAAAAACTTAATGACAAGGCACACTGTGGATAATGAAATTATGGATGAGTTTTTTATAAGCATGGACTTTCCCTGCAATCAGAGATGTAGGCAATTACAAAAATATACAAAGTCTTAATTAGTCTGGAAGGAATATTAATCTTGATGCTTTAGGGTGTACATCAATCTCTAAACATTTCTGAGATATAAGTCAAACCTTATGTGACAGATCTGCCTACTGGACACATCTTCTATTTTATGCTGGCCAGCATCACATGATGTTTTTTAGCACCAGTTGTGCCAGCTGTAGAGCTTATCACCCACAGCCCTCTCATGAATGATTAGCTCTGCTACAGGCCAGCATCACCCTTTACTGGTACCACTCACAGAGTCACAAAGTGTTTGAGGTTGGAAGGCACCTCTGGATTCAGCTGGTTCAGCCCCCCTG